TCACGCCGGTCCCCCCTCCCCGCACCCCGCAGCAGAGCGGGGCCCCCCACCCGCCCGGTGCTGCCGGTTGGGGGCTGCGACCGTGGGGAGCCCGGAGGGGAGCGCGATGTGCCCCGGCACAGGGACCCCCCCGCGCTTCCCGGGGGCCCGGCTGCCTTTGGACCACCGGGACCTTCCTCCTCCTCCTCTTCCTCCGGCCGGGCGCTCACGGACGGCGATGCCGGTGCTCCCCGCCACCGCCCGGGCATCAGAAGCCTCTCGGGGCGGTGCTGAGCCGGGCTCGGAGCCGTAAATTGTGTCCCCCCCCGCGGTAAAGGCCCCCCCCAGCTCCCTCCATCCCCCTGCGGAGACACAGCCCCAAACTCGGGGGGTCCCGGGGCGTGGGGAAGGGGCGAACGGCCCCGGCTCTTGGGGCGCAGCCGGACACGCAGCAGCTTTGCAGCCCCCTCCGCGGGGGGGGAGTGGGGTCACCCCCCCGACAGCAGGGAAACTGAGGCACGGCACGGGGCTGCTCGGCCCCGGGAGCCCAAACGCCGGCTGCCAGGGAGAGAGCGAGGCTCTGCTAAATTAATAAGAAAAAGAAAGCGAGAAAGGGAGCCAAATACCAGCTGGCAAAAAGTATTGATCACCAGGCAAATTTAATGAGTCACGGCTAATGAATTCCCCCTGCGGAGGAGGGGGGCGCTGTCAGAGCAAACCCTGCCAGGGCACGGGGAGCACTGGAGGCCTCTTCCTGGGGGTGCTGGTCCCCCAGGGATAACCATGGAGCAGCACCCACTGCCCCGGGCGGGAGCTGGGGGGGGACACAACAGGCTCTTGGCATGAAACTGCCCCCCCAAAACCCCAGCTCCTCCAGGGACTCACAGGGCAGCCCCATCCCGACTCCTGCCCCGACACACACCCCACCGGGGGGCACTGGGAAGGAGTAAGGGATGACTGGGAGGGAGGGCTCGGGTCTGGGTTTGGTGGGGTGCAGCCTGCCACCCTCCTGGGGGGGGCCTCGGGGCTCTCCCTGTGGGGGGGACACGCTCCCACTGTGGCCCCTGGAGACCCACCTTATTATTGGCCCTTATTAAGCTAAAAGCACGACCTAAGGGAGCCGGGGGGAGCACGGGCACCATCGTCACTAAAGTGCACTTTAAATCGAGTGTGCTTCCCTCCGGTGCACAGGACGAGGCCGCGGGTGCGCACGGGGATGGCCACGGTCCCCGAGACCCAGGGGGTCCCCTCCATCCCTCGTGGGGACAGGGAGGGACCCGGGGGACAGAGACGAGGGAGCAGCACAACTTCCCAAAGCTGGGGAGGGTTTATCGAGATCTGCGGCCACCGACAGGGTGTTAAAGAAAAGCCTCAGGCGTCTTTCACTATAAAAAACAAATCTTTTATGTAAAAAATAAACCTAAACAAAACCCACAACCCCCGCTGCCATGCTCGTGACGATACAAAAGGCCGATTCCCCAGAACACCGTCAAAACAAAGTAGCTGGATCCAAATATATATAAATTGTCAACTTACGAGATTGGAAATAGCACCTTGCCCCCCCCTGCCCCCCCCCAGAGGAGTCAGCCCTGTGCCCCAAAATCCCCACCAGCACTCTGAGCCCAGGGACACCCCCACAGCCCCCTGCCCTCTCCCCCGCCGGAGCAGGAGGGGGGATATGGAACCCCAGGGACCCCCCGCCTGTCCCCAGGCAGCACCTTCCCTGCCCCTGGCCCCCCCCCAGGAGCAGGAGCTGCTCAGCCCCCAGTGGGGTCCCATCTGCGAGGGTCCGGTGACATGGAGCAGCGTTTCCCAGGGCGGGACGGGCAGAAGGGGTCTCCAAAATCCAATCTCAAACCGGTATTAAGAGAAAAAAAACCACTTTTCTGTCTGCACTGCAGGGTCAAGTAACAAAAAGAACCAAAAAAGGGCCAGGGGAAGAGACGGGGAAAGAGCAGGAGCCACCTCCTGACCCCCCTCCCGGGAGCCAGCGACGCTCCTCCGGCAGCCGGTGGCTCGGCTCTGCCCCCGCGGCACCGAGCAGCGAGGGGGGGTGAGAGCGGTCCCTGTGTTGTCCCGCAGGCAGCAGCCCCGCAGCCCCCGCAGCCCCCGCGCACGGCTCAGTCCCCTCTGCTCCAACGGGCGCCAGAGCCAGCGGGCAGACGCCCTGGCGCGCTCCGTGGGCCGGCACCGCTGCGCGGACGGGTGCCCCGGGGCCGGGCAGGGAGAGGCCGAGGGGTGCGAGGGCAGGGGGGGCCTCCTCATTTGGCTGGTTTGGTGATGATGCGAGCGGAGAAGTCGAAGAGGTTCTTGTTGATTTTCCGGAGGGTGCTGACCTCCTCCTCCAGCTCGCTCACCTGGATCGTCAGATGCTCCTGGTCTCCCACCAGGTTCTGCCACAGAAAAACACAAACAGCAAAGCGTCAGGCACCGGGGTCTCCCCTCCGGCCAGCAGAGGCTGGGACTCCCCCTGACAGCAGCAAATCCCAAATCCTTTTGTCCTCTCCCCTCAGCAAATTTCAGGGCTCGCTCCTGCCCGTCCCCAACTTGCACAGGGCCCCAGGAACTGGTCCAGCTGAAGAGAGGACACCCCAAGGGGTCTGCACCCCCCATCTCAGAGCAGCTCTCACCTTTTCCCTCGTGGAGTACATCTGCGCGTACATCCTCTCGGCCTTCTCCAGGTAACTCTCCCCAGAGTCCTGCAGGGACAGACAGGAGACACTGGCACAAGACCCGGGTCCTCTCCCAGCACCCCCGGGGCAGGGTTCCCTTGGGAGGAGGCAAAGAAACCCCCCTGTCCCAGCCCCAGCAGTGATCAAGCAGACCCCCGTGGGGCACAGCCAGCCCTGCGGCGCCGGCAGAGCCCGGCTGGAGCTGCAGCCCCTTTCCAAACTGGAAGGGCCTTTGCACAGGGACGGGGGTCCCAGAACAGCCCCCCTGGGCAGGCGTCTGCAGGCTCCTCTCCCAGCACGGACAGAGCCTGTTCCCTGGGAGGGGGGAAGCCCTGGACTCGCCACCCCCGGCTGCTCCCCCGGCATCGTGCCATGAACGGAGGAGCCCAACTGGCTGCGGGACTGATGTTTTGGAAGCAGCAGCCGAGCCAAACCCTCCACCAAGCAGCAAAGAGCCCCTCCTGGACTGGCTGCTACCTCCCCTACACGGAGCCCATCCATCAGCCGTGGCAGGACTGTCACTCGCCTGGGGACAGATGCTGACAGAGGAGAGCAGCCCTGGGACCACCGGCAGAGAGGCCGGGGGACGGACTGGCAGGGCACAGAGCCAGCCTGTGACCACTGGTGGTACAGGACACCCCCTGCCCGGGGACAGCCACGCTGGGGCCGAAGGACAGTGGTGTTGGGACCAGCCCACGCTGCAGCACAAGGCTGGGAGGACAAATGACTGCACCAGGCAGGACAGCGAGAGGGAGGAGGAACGGGTCTCACCAGGCTGGAGAAGGGCGTTCGCAGAGGGAGAACAGTCTCTGAGGGGCAAAGACACTGCCTGGGGGGCTCCTGACAGGCAGGACTTGGGGCAGGGCAGAGACACAGAGTCCCGACATCTCCAGACCTCCCCCCGACACCGGGGTGATTTCAAAGGGACACCCTGTCCCCCAGCCAGGACCCTGCTCCCCTGGGAGACCTTGGTCTGGGGGCTCCGATCCCCAGGCTGAGAACAGTCCCGATACAGCGGAGAGCACGGGAAGAGCCTGCCTGTTCCCTGCCTGCTCCCTGCCCACTCCCTGCCTGTTCCCTGCCTGCTCCGCTCCCACCACACGTCAGTTAATTGGGCAATTCCACTGCTCTTTAGGAAATGGCACTTGGGGAAGTTTAGCAGCACAGGGGAAGACCAGAACAGGCCGAGCGTGGAGCTGCTGCCCATCACCAACGGACCAGGCACTGCTGCTGCTCAGGCTGGAGGAGAAATTTTGGACCCTCCAACACAGACCCCCCCACCTGCACCCCGTCTCCCCCTCCCCAGCACCCCCTCGCCCCCGGTACCTGCTGGTGGAGCCCGAGGCGCAGCGTCACCCCCTCGCTGCCCTGCTCGTCGTTGCTCTCGGTGCCGTGGAGGTGTTTGCTGAATTTGGGCAGAGGCACGCTGGGCTTCCCGTCCGGGTTGAACATGTTGGCTGGGGCCAGCACTATGAAGGCGTTTGTCACCGGACCTGGGACAGGACAAGAGGAGGGGACAGGTCAGATCCCCCTCCAGTGGGGCTGTCTCCTGCCTGGTGCCTCAGGCAGCCCCAAGAACAGAGCAGAACTCGGGGCGCAGGGACCTGCCAGGACCCCTGCCTTCCTCCCACCCCCGGGGGAGGCTGAGCCCCTCTCCCCATCTCTGGGGGTGGGAATCGGGGCCACGGCTCCGCACCCCGGGCCCGGCAGCGGCTCAGGGAGGAGCGGGTGGCCCGGCCGTCCTCCGCAGAGCCAGCCATCCATCAGCGGCTGCCACTTCCCCAGCTGTCTCCTGCAATGATCTATCACACACTCTCGTTTGGCAGAGCTAATGAGTGCTTTAATTACTGCATTTACCCACACGGGCTGCTGCTTTCTGTCAGCAGCCCCCTCCACCTCCCCTTCCGAACTCACGCTCGCTGCTGAACTCCCACTGTCCCCCACATCCCAAACCTGTCCCTGTCAGACGCAGTGACCCCCCAGCCCCACAAAGCCCCCCCACACCTCGGGCAGCCAGCGAGCAGAGCGGCTCAGTCACTCCTAATAAATCCCCAACCATCCATCTTCTACCAGCTGAACCCGACAGCACGAAGGGGAAGGTTAAAAGGATCCAGATGCACCTGAGCAGAGGCAGCGCCCGCCCAGCATCCCCGCCGAAGGCAGCGGGGAAGGGTGCAGGATGAGGGGGGAAACCCGGGGTGGGGGGCCTGGGGACAGGGAGCTCAGTCTCCGCAGAGGAGATGGACAGAAGCATCTGATGCAGACGAGGGCTCCCTCACCATCATCTCCCCCTCCAGCTACACCACCCTGCGCCGAAGCCCGACCCTCCCCAGGCCCAAGGCTGGATCCCAGCAGCAAACCATCGGCTCCAGGAGCTGCTCCGCCAGCACAGTCCCGGGCTGGCCCCAAGCTGCTCTTTGCCAACGCTTCGCTGTAACAAACCATTTGTTTTATCCTCACTCCCTCCCTAAAGACAAGAACTTGCTGCTGCTTATGAAAGTGTCCATTAGTGAGATTGCTGCTGCTGGGCCACCGGCAACTCCAGGAGCAATTGGAAAGGAAGGGATGAGAAAGGCAGAGAAGAGAAAAGTCTCGTGAACCACCCCACAGATCCCCAAACCTGGTCACCACCCAGGGCAGACCCCCCCCCCAGCCACTCTCGGGGCCCAGTGAGGCTGCAGGTCCCGTCCAAGCCCACCTCATCACAATGGCTGGGGCACTGGGTGGTGGGTGACACCCTGCTGGTGCGGGCAGAGGGACCGGACTCAACTGGCAGAGAATAAACAATCCGGCTTCCAGCACCAGCAGCTGCCAGCAGGATGGATCAACCGGAGCATCCCCGGGGGGGGGGATAACAGGAACGAGCCCCCAGGGACAGTCTGTGCCACACGGTGTGTGCAGAGAGAAGGATGGAGCTTGTGTGACAGGAGAGGAACCGAGGCCTGGAGGGACGCTGGGGCAGCGCTGGCAAGGGACTGGGGAGCACTGCCCCCCATCCCACTGGTCCCCACTCCCCTCGGTGCAGGGACAGCCACGCTGGGTACCCAGGGGCAGCCCTGCCTTGCCCAGGGCAGTCACAGCCCATCACCCAACAGCAGCAGCCTGGTTTCTCAAAGTCCATCTCCCTGCCCATGCCTGGCCTCCCCACTTGCCCCCTGCCACCAAGGACAAGCAAACCTTGCTGGAAAAGCCCCCTGCATCCCTCCTGCTGCACAGCTACGCTCCTCTCAAGCCCTGAGCCACACTCCAACCCTGCCGATCTATTTGCAGCACCATCATGTGGGGAGGGCAGCGGTTTCTGACCTGCCCCAGCCACCCGCGAGCAGAGGGACCTCGCTTTCCCGAGCACGCAGGGCCAGAGGATGCTGTCATGTCAGTCCTGGTAGAAAAGCCTGTCTCCTCTCTGCCTTGGGAAGGGAAAGGCTCAGGGAACACGCTGGAGGGGAGAGCAGGGCAGCGGCAGGGAACAGACCTTGCTGGGAGGCTCAGGTCACCGCTGGGAGAGGGGGTGAGAAAAGGCCAAGGGGAGATGGAAACCAGTGCTGCAGGGAACCCGCTGCCCCACTAAGGGGGTGACAGGGCCAGCCCAGAGGGACAGCACTGGGACAGAGGAGCTGCAGAGCTCCCTGACGCAGGGACCCTCCTCCTCGTGCTCCCTACGGTGTGGCTCCCCCTGGATGGCAGCTCCTGACTCAGAGCCCGCTCCCAGGCTCCGGTGAAGCACACGGCGGCAGCAGGGAACCGGTGCCAGGGCTGCCAGGGAAGCCAAACCCCTGCCCGCAGGAAGAAGTGAGCCACGGAGCTGCAGAAAGCACCTGCACCTCCCAGCCCCGGCACCCAGCGGCACCCTCAGCCTGGTCCTGCCCCTCATGGGAAGAGCTTGTGTCCATCTGCACTTCCCTGCAGCCTCAAGGAGGGTTGCGATGCCTGGCTTGTGGTGAAAGCTTGGCCCCCCCCTCCTCTGATGACTCACACAGCTCAGATTTTGTCTGCTGTCACCCCTCTGGTGCCAGTGGAGCAAGGCTAATGGAGACCTACTGCAGCGCCTGTCCAGAAACGGTCCTTGGCAGCAGAAGGAAGGGGTCTGCAGGCAGCCCGGCCCCCAGCCCCCCCGGGGCTGCAGCTTGGCCAGAGGCAGCGTCACAGAGGAACAGGGTCTGACTTTCACCACTGTCACCTTCTGGGAGGGTTTAGGCAGCTGCCAGCCCCACCAGCGAGAAACTGGTCACAGAAGAAATCCACTGTCAGCAACAGCTCAAATGCAACAGGAGGGCGAAATCATCCACTGCTCCCAGGCACTTAATTGCTGATCTGAGCCTGGAAAGGCTTGTTTGCATGGTTTATCACAGCCGTTAGACTGAAATCCCAGACGACTGCTTATATCAGATTCACTTCAGGCCTAATGAGCTCATGGGTGCTCATTGCTGGGGTCACAGACCAGACACCTCCTCCCGCTCCCGCAGCCTCCCCAGGCCTTGGGGTACATGTGGGGCAACAGGTCCCTTTGGGAAACAAAGAGGAAGATCCTGGATGTCCTCAGAGACAGGGTGAAATGTCTGACTCACTCCCTGACAGCTGCACAGAGAGGTTGTTAACAGACATGGGCAAGGTCAAAACATCACTCCAGACAGCTGAGGCGTCCCTCCACTGCCTGTGCCCTTCCTGGAGGTGTGAGGCAAGTACCAGAGAAATGCCTCAAGTGCCCAGGGCAGCCTCACAGCAGCACAAGTGAGACGGCAGCGGCCACTGGCAGCTGAGGAGGAAAGGATCCTGGAGATAAGAGCGTGCCTACCTTTGTGATTCATCGTCTTGAGGCACTGCTTGCTCTGGATGTCCCACAGCCGGACGGTTTCGTCGTGTGAGCCGGAGAGCAGCAGGCTGCCATCCGTGGAGACAGACAGACACGTCACCTGGTTCCTGGAATGGGGAAGAGAAGAGGGAGTTTAAACTCGGGATGACCCGAGGACTGTGTGAGACCGGGGCGGTGGGCAGACAGGGGTGAGGGAGCGCCTGGCAGGTACGTCTGGTCCCTCACCTGTGCCCTTTGAAGACCTTCCCGTTCTCCCGCTCCGTCTGGAAGGTCCTGTCTCTCTGTACTGGCTGCAGAAATGCAGGAAGGAAGGGAGAGAGCAGTTTAAATTCAGGAAGATGGAAGCCAGCAGGTTCATCACTGTGTCTGCAGGAAGGAGACACCAGGAACCCAGGCCCTCCCACGCCCTGGCAGGTCACACCAGTCCCACAGGCGGGAGGTGACAGTGGCTCCGGGTGCCACGTCGGGAGCAGACGGAGCAGATCCACAGCCCCAGGCACTCACCCAGGCACAGAGGTCAACCTGGAAGATGGACCCGTCCATGCCACCACAGAACATGTGGTACTCGGAGAGGTCAAGAGTCACAGCCATGATCCCCACGTCGAAGAGCACGGAAAGCAGGAGCTCCCCAGATGAGATTTCCCAGAGCTGGAGCGAGAGGGTACAGAGGAATCAGGGGCTTAAATGTTATCGACAGGATTGGAAGAACACACTGCTGCTTATCAGCACCTGCCTGCAGCATCCTGCGGATGGGGAAACCAAGCCTAAGGTGTAACCACGGCAGAAGCCAGGATCAGCCCTTCCTGACCATGAGACAAGTCTCCCAGGCAGCTCCAAAACGGGCCTCAGCCCCCTTGCGAGCCCATCGTGCCCCCCAGGACAGACCCCCCACTCTGCAGGGCAGGAGGAGCGAGTGGTGGGCTACAGCCTGCTCTGCTCCCCACCCCTCCAGACTGGAGCAGATCAGTGAGGGGAATGAGAGGAGCTGACCCCGACATTCCGCAGGAGAAGAGGGACTGCAAAGCACGGAGAGGCCCAGCCCCAGGGCAGGTGCGGAGAAACTGCTGGTGTTTGGAGAGGCAAAGCCCATTAATGGGTCTGGCAGCTCTGAGTCATCACAGAGACAGCCAAGAAATTCAGCCACTGCAGCCCTCACGGAGGGAGAGCCCTGCTGCAGCCCAGCAGACTCTGCTTTAACCCTCTGGGGCCCGTGCACCTCTGGGGCTCCCGCTGCAGGGGACGGGCCTTACCTTCGCTGTCTGGTCGAGGGAGGCAGTGGCAGCTCGTGCCAAGGGCCCTCCGAAGCCGCAGCACAAGTCGGTGATGGGGAGGCTGTGTCGGGACCAGACGTGGCGAGGGTCGGGGATCTGGGAGGGCTCTGCCTGCAGCACGCTGTGGGGCAGAGCAGAGGGATGGGTTGGCACACATCAGGGTTTAACCCCAGCCAGGAACCCAGCCCCACACAGCTCACTCAACCCCAGTGAGGTGGGGAAAAGAATAAGAGCAGAAGTGAGAAAAAACGCATGGGTTAAGATAAAGACAGTTTAATTGGGAGAGCAAAAGCCACACACAGCAGCAAAGCACAACAAGGAATTCATTCCCTGCTCCCCATCGGGGTCCAGTCTCCCCAGGAAAGCTCCATCACACATTACTTGGGAAGACAAACTCCATCACTCTCAACATCCCCCCTTTCCTCCTTCTCCCCCAGTTTATACACTGAGCACAATGTCACATGGTACGGAACGTCCCTGTGGTCAGTTGGGGTCAGCTGTCCCCACTGTGTCCCCTCCTAACTCTTTGTGCCCCCCAACCTGCTTGCTGGCAGGGGGGTGAGGGGCAGAAGCTGCGTGAGCTTGTAAACTGGGCACTGCGTAAGCACTGCTCAGCAGTAACTAAAACATCCCCGTGTTACCAATGCTTCCCAGCACAGATCCCTAACAGCCCCACACCAGCTACTGCGAAGAAAATTAACTCTACCCCAGCCTGAACGGGCCCAGCAGGGCAGGGTGGCGAGGCTCTCTGGGCTGCAGGGACCAAGCGGGACACAGGAACCATCAGTGGCCACAGCACACGCGATATCGAGGACGAGGGCCCCCAGTGAGCTCCCCATCCCAGAGGGGACAGAGACCTGAGCAGGGGAAGGGCACGATCCACTCTGCACCAAGCAGGGGAAAGAAGTCAGAGCCGTATGTCACAGCCTGGGGAACTCGATGAGACACCGGGACAAACCTCCCGGGCAGCAGGATGACGGCAGGGGAAGAGCTGCCTAAGGAGGGCACAGACTCGTCACCAGGCTTTACACACAGCTTAGACACACGGGCTTAGGCAGAGCTGATTCCGCCCCCGGGGAGTGGTGGCTGATCTCTTGTTCTAATATTCCTCGCCCAGACGCTCCCTGTGCCCCGTGCGAATGGGCTGAGACCTCCCCACGGGCCACCGTTACCTGTAGAGGTTCCACACCAGGGCCAGGCAGTCCTTCGCCCCCGAGAGAAAGTGGCTGCTGTCGTCAGTAAAGCAGAGGCATGTGAGGTCCTGGTAGTGTCGGTTCAGGATGGCCAGGAGGTTCCCGTTGGAGACCTGGAGCAAGGGAAGGGGCAGGAGAGCGTTAAGAAACAAGCACCGTGACGCCCTGGAACAACGTAGCGCCCTGTCCTCAATGCTTGTGGGTTAACTCTGGAGCCTAGTGATGCCAGTGAGCTTTCTCTGGCCAAGACACAGCTGTGCAGTTAAGATTTCCTCTTTACTATTAATATTACTTTGATGGCTTTTTCCAACCTCCCACAACACCTAACAAGGTGGCCGTGGGGGTTACAAAAGCTGCAGGAGGCTGCATGCCACCCCAGGGGCTGCTGCACTTCAGCACGGTCTTGGGCCAAGGGAGGCTTCAGGGTGGACAAGGAGTTCCCTAAACCCCGGGCTTTCCTTGTGAACAGGCAACACTGCAGATGGGGAGGGAACCGAGGCGGCAGCGAGGGGGCCCCGTACAAAAGAACAGAATCGACTCCCTCTCGTTGTGTGAATTGCACCTAAAAATAAATCCAGGCTGCAATTCAAGGCAGAACAAGCAGTTTCACAGAGAAGGCACAAAACGAGGGCTCTTGGGCCCATTCCCAGCTCTACAGTGATTTCCATGCAGCCTCTCCGAGGCGCTTGTTCCCTCCCCGAGGTTGAGAGTGCCGTCACCGCTCCAGGCTGGGAAGCGCTTGCACGGCTGGGCTCGCTGGGGACAGACAGACAGACAGGGCCACGTTGCGCAGACAAACAGCAGGGATCAGCTGAGAGCATCAGGAGTGGGTAACTCCCGCCTGCTGCAGCCCAGCATCCCTGCCGAGGCTTTTCTTCCAACGCCGCCACGAGCACATTTTGGAAAGAAAAACCTGATGAATTAAGATAGAGCCGCCCACATAACAAAGCTCAGAAACATCCCCCAGCACCGAGAGCTTTCCAGGTTAGACATCTCAGTGTTTAATCCCAGGGCTCAGAACAAGCTCGTTCTTTTATTTGCTTGGTGAAGTGCTTAGATTGTAGCGTAATCCCCACGTAAACACATCGCTAATTAAAAATAGAAGGATGATGACCAGAGCACGGCAGTCTCTGCAGACATCCAGATCACAAGTCACATACAAATTTTAGGCTAAAACGTGCAAGAACTGCTGAAGGAAAACTAGGTCCTGTGTTTCTGCTTTGAGGGAGCCACATCTGACCCCCGGGGCATCTGCAGCAGCTTGGGAAGAGAATGAATGAACAGACCTAAGCCTCACCCAGCACCTCCCACCACAATTTCTCCACATGCTCAGTGTATAAAGCTGGGGAAGCAGGAGGAAGAGGAGACATTCAGAGTGATGGAGTTTGTCTTCCCAAGTAACGCGTGATGGAGCCCGGCTTTCCTGGAGAGGCTGGACCCCCGATGGGGAGTGGGGAATTAATTCCTTGTTGTGCTTTGCTGGTGCATGGGGCTTTTGCTCTGCCTGTTAAACTGTCTTTATCTCAACCCACGAGTTCTCTCACTTTTGCTCTTCTGATTCTTTTCCCCACCCCACCGGGCGGGAGCGAGCGAGCGGCTGCACGGGCTTTAGTTGCTGGCGGGGGTTAAACCACAACGGGAGCCCAGACCACACCAGGAAAGCTGTAACATCCATGACCCAGCAAGGCCCTCACCCCACCGTGGAGCCCAGATGACGTGGATTTACTGACACCTGACGGGACAGGGCCACTCAGTAACCGTACAGGGTGAGAGTGTCTGTGCCCCCAGCCCTGCCCCAGCCCCCTCACCTCCCACAGGTAGATGCTCTCGGCAACCCCCGCCAAGATGTAGAGCCCGTTGGGAGAAGCCGTCAGGCAGGTCACCGGCCCGGGGCATATAATCTTCTGCTGGAGCTGGTCCTGGGGGTAAAAAGAACACGGTGACCCTTCAGTAAGGGCTGGAGGACGGGAGGGAGAGAGAAACAAGGCCCTGGGAGAAGAGGCAGCTCTGGCAGCGTCCGACGCGCCACGGCTGCCCATGTTTGAGCCGTGTCCTCAACCCACATCAGCAGCACCGCGGTTCAGAGGTTCACTGCTGAAGAGGAGGAGGATGAAGAGCACAGTCCATGTGTGCACACCACATCGAATTGCTCTGCGTTTTGCCGTTTTTGTGGCAGTATTTGTTTTTAGCCCCACAGAGGGAAAGAAAATTCTCCTCCACCCTCCTCCAAGCACAGGCAGCAGGGGGTGTGTGTGGTGATGGGGGGTCGTTATGGAGAGAGGGGCCCTGGGGGGGGTCTGACCATAGAGACAGGGGGTCTTTATGGGAAGAGCGGCTCCCACCACAGAAACGGGGGGTCTCCCGGGAGGGGGTCCTGGCGCATCCCCACAAGGACGGGGAGTCCCTCCGCGGGGCCCGGGGGCGCCCCCCGAGCCGAGGTCTCCCGGGCCCGCCCGCCGCGCCGGTACCTTCCTCTGGAGCTCCCAGACGTTGATGTAGCTCTTGCCCAGCTGGGCCCCCAGCAGGTGTTCGCCGCCCAGCAGCGCCAGCCCGCGCGGGCCGCTGTTGCCGCCGCGGTAGCCGGGCAGGGCGGAGCCCGAGTGCAGCTCCCAGACGGAGCAGTTGCAGAGCGGCCCGGCGGCGTCCGACACCAGCGCCACCTCCATGGGCGCCGCCATCTTCCCGGTCCGCCAGGGCCAGAGAGAGCGCGGTGGCCGCCTAGAGCGCCGCCCTCCCCCCCGTCAACGGCCAATCAGGAGCGGCGCCGCCGGGGCCGCGCGCCTGCGCGGGGCGGGACCTGCCGCGGCCGCCCGCACGCGGCAGGAAGCTCAGCAGGGCCCGCCCCGGCCCGGCCCGGGATGGGGGACCCCGGGCAGCGCTGGGCCCGTGGGCGACCTGTGCGCACCCCACGGGCACCCCGAATCCTTGTGGGGACCCCGAGACACCCTGTAGTCCTATAGGGACCCTATGGACATCCCACAGCCCTATGGGCACCCCACAGGGACCCCAAGGCACCCTATAGTCTCTCCATCGGCAGCCCTATGGGCACCTCGTGGGCACCCCACAGCTCTATAGGCACCCTGTGGGGACCTTATAGACCCACGGAGATGCCATAGCCCTATAGGGTCCCCACGGACACCCCAGATCTTCGTGGGCACCCCACAACCCTGTGGGGACCCCACAGGGACCCCATGGCACCCTATAGGTGCTCCATAGGGACCCCACAGTCCTGGGGTCACCCCCTGAGCACCCTATGAGGGGCACCCTACAGCCCTGGGGCCCCCCCTGACACCCCCCGACACAGAAACCCCCGACAACACAGCTTTTTTTTTTTTTTTTAATATTTCATCAACTTTACAGGGTTACAATTGTCTTAAATATTCTGAAGTTTAAATACAATCTGTATAATAATGTTATTATAAAATGTAAACTTTCAGTGTTTTTATTTTATTTTATCTTTTTTTTTTAATAATCAAAAGTTTCAATACCTGAATGTTTGCAAAACTGAAATATTTCACCGGGGCCCGGGTGCGCCCGAGGCCGCCGCTCTCAGAGGTAGAATGTGGTTTTTTATTCTTTTTTTTTTGTCTTTTTGTGGGTTTTTTTCTTTTTCATTTTTCACCTGAGTTAAGATCTGCTCGCTGGGTCCATCTGCAGCCGGGGCCCTTCCTTTTTTCTTTCCAAACCCCAGAGAAACTGATTTAGGCTTTTTTTTTTTTTTTTCTTTTTTTTTTTTTTTTAAATCAATATGAAAAAAAAAAAAAAAAGGGGAGGGAAAATGCAACTGGTATAACAGAATAATCAGGCCACATGCCCCAGGCCTCAGCAAACGCACGGTCATGAGCTACTGACTCTTACAGATATTATTATAACCACTGTATGACCAATGTATTAACTCAAGAGGAAGGGGGAGGGAGGAATAAAAATAATTAAAAAAAAAAAAACCCAAGCAACCCAAAACAGTGACTGTACAAATGCAAAAACTCACTAAGAAAATCTAACGCCCACCCTGGGCACAAGAAACATCCCCCCCTCGGGGATTTCTCCTTGGGGGGAACTGGGCTGGATCCCAACAGCAGCAGGAGCTGGATGGAGCCCCCCCCGGACCCCCACCTCCCCCAAGGGATGGGGTCCATGGAGCCACCAAGGGGCATTTTCAGCTCTGGAGAAGGGGGGGAGAGGGGGGGCAGGAAAAGGCTGGAAAAAAAACAAAAAAAAAAGG